TAAGAGAACCAAACATTGCTTTTATCATGTGACGTTCTGTTAGAAAAATTTGAGGTATTTGATGTATTACCAACCAGTCTATAGAAACCAAAGATTTTCTGTGCATTGATGAACTTTAATTCAGGCAGGCAGAAAATACCCAGCATCTACTTGAATATTTTCCTTATAAGTTATTTGAAAGCTTTGATGGTATTTATGAAATTGAACTGCCTCAGGGTGCATAAAGTCAAGTGGGACAATGGGCAGTTATAAAGTGGGGTTATTTCTGCTGTTGAATTTATTCCCTCATTCTAGCAAATTTGACATGCTGTCTGTGTTTTTTCCTTGTGTCTAGTTGAGCAAGTCATTTAAATGAATAATCAAAGACAAATCCTTCAAATCATAGATGATTTTCTTTCGTTTTATTTCTATGTCAACCCTTTTTATCCAAATGCTTACCTACAGCCCTACACTCTGGAGCCTATAAGGGCTTAGAATTCCCCTTTCCCAATAAAGACAAGCAAGAAAAATCAATTCGGACCCTTCTCTGGAAGGCACACACAACTCTCTTTAACATTCTCAATCCCTTCAAGCTATAGACCACAGATTTGTTAAAAAAAAATACTGTCCATTATTGTTGTAATTGGTTCATGCGTAAAATACACAGATAATTCCTGTCATTTTTCCGTTATTCAAACTTTGTCCTATTTTGTGGGTACTAGGCAGTTTGTTCAATTTTGATTTGATCATTACCTTGGAGTATTATTCTTAATTAGTTTGAGAAGAACAGAGAACAGAGACAGAAAGAGAGAGACAGAGACAGAGAGAGAGACGGAGAGAGATAATGTGTGTGTGTGTGCTGGTCTCTTAAGGGGTCTCACTCACTGAACATCAACAATATTCGGGGGTATGAAGCCCAGCACCAGTTCTCAGTCCATGTCCCTATGTGGGTCTACATGGCAGGAGCACAACTAGAGTCAGGACAACTACCTCCCAGGGAGTGCAAATCAAGAGCCTGAGCCAAGGACTGAACTCAGGCACTCACACGTGGGATGTTGTTAAATGCCTGTTCCCATGTGGAGTGAATTTGATAACAGTGTATGAATCAATTGGTAGGACAAGTTCACGGCACACTACTAAATTTCAGTAATTTAAATAAAATAAGCTAGTATTTGTTGCATGCTTCATTTGTGTAAAATGTGCATGGACTATCTCATTAAAATTTCAAAATTACACCAAATTATAAAGAAAGCTCATAATTTCATATGGTTGTGTCATGGGAGGGAAATTAATTGGCAGAGAAAAAAGGCAAAAGGAGCTTAAACTGAGACTATCAACTGGTTATGAAAATTATACCAGGAAATATACTTACTACTAAATTTTTCCTTTAAAAAAAAACTAAAACTTTCACTTTTAGAAATAAGATAGTTGTATAAGGTGTTAACTTCACTCAAAAATAATATTAAACCTCAAAACTGGTGTACTTTTTAGTTCTAACTACATATTTCACCAATTCTGACTTCCTGCATTTTGTGCAAAACTACTTACTACAGTTACAGGTTTGTTTCCTGGAAATCACACAATGCTTGAATCCTATTTATGCTTTATATTGCTTTCTCCACTTGACGTTGTGCTGTCCATTTTTTTTTTGAAATTTCAGTGTGATTTCTCTTATTTTTAGTTCAACTACCAGCAAACATCGTCAGTGCCTTTAACAAAGTATTCTTCATAAGGTTAGTCTTTTTTTTTTTAAACTGGGTAAAGAAAGCATTCAATTAAAATCCAGAATAGTTCTTAGAAGACATTTACGAAGTGAATATATGTATTACCAAAGAATGTTCAAACTTATAATCTTATAGCAGATTGCTACTATACTGCAAGACAGTATGTTCTTAAATATAGAGATGAAGAAAATTTTATTTTGGATATTTTTCTCAGAAATTATTTTAAGCAAATTATATTTGTACTTTTGCTTTGGATCTATCCACTTATAAGTTAATTCCCTTTCTTTCAGTAAACATTTGTTAATTCCTTGCATGTGAAGACAAAGCATTAAGACGCTATCACTCCAGGCCACAATATGGCAGTTTGTAGCAACTGACTGCTATTTTTACAGTGAAAACTACATATTTTACAGGGAAGAAAATGGTAGGCTGCTTAGGTCTCTTGCTCCACAAACTGAGGCCTCCCTTTGGAGTTGAGCCCATGTGTTCAATGATGCACTTCCATTGCTTTCTCCATTTCTGCCAAGGATTAGAACTCCACAAAGGTGATTCTGGAGCCAGAGACTCAGGAGGCAAATGCAGCTCAGCCTCTCTTTGAATGTGGTCTGTCTAGACTCTTTTGGGCACAAATTAGAACCCTTGTGAGTTATCTCACTGCTATTCACTGAGCTTCACACAGCAGCCTTCCCTAAATTGCTGCTTGTGAATTGTTTTTCATAGTGAAACCAATCGTGATCATTTCACAAAACACATGAAGAGCATCCCAAACAACAATTTGCAATTTTATTTTGTTACATACACGAGTGCTGCAAAAAAACAAAAACAAACTAAAAATAAGCATTTACTTCTTTGCTTGATAAAAGCAAAACTGGTTGGAGAACATTTTTTAATAGGATCAGGACTTTCATTCTAGAGTCCATAGATACTTTATTTTCCCCTCTGTAACTAAAATTATTGATTTTAAATTCCTTAGTTCAAAACAATGAATAATTTTCTATGTAGTATCAAAGCAGATTTGGTAATGTAGACATCAGAGCATTCTCTCCTTCATTAAATTAGGCGAAGAGAACTCACTGGTTCTCAAACTGTTAAAAGGACTTAGGCTTTTTAATGAATGGAACATTTATTTCTGTGCCAGCTCAACTAACAGCACTGACATGATTAGCATACATTTTGGCAAATGTTGCAGCACGAGGTGTTAGTAAAAAGGAGCTTTTATCTTTAAGCTTAATTTACTGTAGCGTTTCTTGTTATTAATGTTTTTAGTGTGAATAAGATATTTTTGTCAAGGAAATCCTGCTACAAGAAGTTATTCAGAAATACATCTTTTTATTAACGTTAGACAATTCTCATGCTGGAGATGAAGTTACTGTCTCAAAACACATTAGCCTTCCTTAAATTTAGAAATGAATGGAATATTTTGTTATTTATGCAGATGCAAAACTTGTTGCCCTGACAGAGGATTTTTTTTTACTGACAGTTCTTCACATATGATTTTTTTCCTTAAAAAAAAAAAGGAACATGAGGAACAAAATTTGACTAGTAACAGATGGTACCCTCCATCACTATAAATCCATAATGAATGAAAAATTTGGGGGGTTTAATACTCCAATCTTTTAATTCAGGTTCATCATATGAAAGAACTTTCTTGTTGCATATATTGATGCTTTATCTTCTTATTATCATATTTATTGAGCAAAGCAAGAAAAATAATACGAGTCTGAAAGGTTTGGGGTGATTGCGTTAAATTCTCTGCTTTTTCAGTATGATTTTATCTAAAAAAATTTTAATACATTCTAACACAGCTAACAGGTTTGCCATAAGAATGTGATAAATGAAAGTTTCTGGTTGACAATAAATAAATCTAAAATAAATTAATATGCATATGCACGTGCATGGATGCAAATTTTCATATGAATTTATAACAAACTTACAGTCAATTTTCTTTCTACTACATGTCTTTAACCACACATATGGTCAAAAACTTATCCAATGTCTTACTGACTAATGAATTGGTTTAATCTAAATCTTAGCACAGTAGAATATTATGATTCATTTGCATTTTACCCTTAAAAGCAATGAATACCAATAAACAGACACTTTAGTGAATGAGCAAGTGCCTGTTCAAATTGAAAAATGGTAAAAATGAGAAATAAATTATGAAAATATATAATTTTAATTTGTAGACATATAAACACTTTTGGTATAACATAGACATGATGCCAAAAAGTAAAATGATCCAGTTTAAGCTAACACTTACATTCCTTGATTATACAGACAACTTCGCTGTAGTTCTCGTACAAAATAAAATTTCCAGCTTACACAATGAAGTAAAACTGAGAAATCACTGAATAATAGCTTTCTTCACTGCAAAAATTCAGTAAGAGCTCGGTTATTTAAAGAATCTACTGCTGGGCTTACAAATAAACTCCTGGACTTATTCCAAAACCAAAGAAAGGAAGAAAGAAACGGTAGCCAACAAACATCAACAACAACAGAAAGATAAATATAATTTCCATATCAAATATTCAACTGAAACAATCAATATTGTACATTGGTTTCTGGTATAATCCACTTTTAATGTAACTTTTATTTTCTGATGTGACAGATGAAAATATACTCAAGTTACAGCACTACTGACAGGTCATGAAAGCATTATAATAGTACCATGAACATCTGTGACTCAGTAACAAAGGACTGAAACATTACTTTGCTTCTGGCTGCTTTTCTTGGGCACAATTTCTAATTACATTTTCTGTAGGGAAATATATAAATATTTCTCCTGCTGTAACAGCCAGTGCAGTGGTAAAGCAAATGGAAAGCAATTTGTATACACAAAAACTGAAATACTTTTTCAGCAGGTCAAATCTGTAACACGTGGCGATGCTTTTATTCTTGATAAAAATGAATTGCGCTTCTTTTTAATGCCTTCTCTTTCAAACAATACATGATGTCCTGATGAGGTACAAACATTTTATACATAAGTGCATTTCTTTTCTTTCTTATATATTTATGTAGGTCAAAATTCAGTTTACTTTTAAGTTCCTATTTATTTAATGTTAAAAACAATGTATTTAAAATATACTCTTTCATTTATTTCATGTACAACTGTCATGTACAATACCTTAGTTCCCTGCAAAGGAGCAGCTGATGCCCTCTTGTGGTGAAAGGACGTTTTAGTTTCTCTCTTTTTTCTTTAAAGTGCTCTTCTCTTACCTTAATCCCAGGTTTTATCAGTCATCTGCTTGGTTTATGAAAGCTGCAAACCATGTCCAAGCATTTTTTTTTAATATTCATTACAGCATTTCTATAGCTGTTAGTACTAATTTTCGTTTAAAAACACTGTACACATCATATAACCTCTGGATTTGATTTTAAAAATCTGAAAACAGCTATTTACAATATACCACAAGTTATAAATTAGTTGTCCTTCATTGGAGCTGCCATCAACACACTCTTATCCAGGTGAATAAGACTCACCAGAGTCAATTAAATCAGCTTCCATTGTTATTCCACAATGAAATATCAAATGTTGGAAATATCCATTGGTTTCCTCTCCCTCATACGCAAGTCAATTTTTCCTTTCAGTGGAATTTGTACTTCCAAATTGTCATCTTCCCTGTGAGGCTTTTTCTCCTTCCTTAAGCAGATGTATATGCCCATGCCTGTCACAAGTGTGATGGAACCCAGGCTTATCACTGACAGAGCTACTAAGGTGGGCACACAGGACACCGATTCTACCTTCCTGTGTGTCGGTTCTATGGAAATTTGTGGTTCTTTCTCCTCTATGTTAATTTCTGGTTCCTTTCTTAACAGACTCTCAATATAGCTCTCGTTACTGACGGTGTCGTTGACAAACAGGTTTACCATGACTGTGGAGTGGAGAGGCTCAGGGTAGCCATGGTCACTCACTTTCACTAACAAGCGATGGAGTCCATAATCCGTCTGTAGCAAGGCCTCCTCCAAAGTGATGTTGCCAGTTTTAGGGTCAATCCGAAAGGACTCAGGCCTGGGCCCTCTTCTGCCTATGATGCTGTAAGCTATGACAGCATTCATGCCTGTGTCTTTATCAACGGCATAGACCTCTGTAACTGGGGAGCCAGGCAGCGTGGACGGCAGTACCAGCAGGTAGGACATGTTGGATTGCGGGAATAAAACAAGAGGAGGATTGTCATTGATATCTAGAAGGAGAATGGTGATTTTTGTAGTGGAGGAGAGGGCAGGCTCACCCCCATCAACAGCTTCAACCCATAAGGTATAGGAGCTTTGCTGCTCTCGGTCCAAAGAGACTTTTGCTCTCAACATACCCTTCCCTGTATCAATAACAAAAATATCACTCTGGTTGACCACTGAGAGGGCCACCCATCCATTTCGCCCAGCATCTGCATCTGTTACACTAATCACCCCAATCTCACCATATCCTGGAAAGTTTTCAGGCACGAAGAAGCTGAAGTCCTTGTTAATAAACCTAGGACTGTTGTCGTTTTTATCCAACACCGTGAGAGCCACAGTGGCTACAGATTCTCTGGGAGGCTTTCCACAGTCCACAGCTCTGACCGTGTACCTGTATTTTTCTTTCTCTTCTCGGTCCAGCTGAGTTGAAACTGTCAGAATTCCTGTGACATTGTCTAAGGAAAAATATGATGGAGCGTCAGGTCCCAGAAAATACAAAACTTGCCCTCTCTCGCCGCTGTCAGCATCAGTAGCATACAGCTTGGTCAAAAAGGCGTTGGGTGGGTTGTTTTCTTCAATGGTTAGTTCTATCAGGGGTTGAAGGAAAACAGGCGCATTATCATTGTCATCTAAGAGTTGCACTTTAATGATTCTCTTGGCATGAAATCCTTCAGAATTCCAGGCCACAACAGCTATTTCATAGAACTGCTGGAGCTCATAGTCCATAGGTTTGGTAGTCTCTAGCAAATATTCATTATTGTATGGTTTGTAGGGTGATAATCTAAATGGTCCTTCACCATCCAGGTAGCAGTTGACCTTGTGTTTACCTTCTGGATCTCTGATGGTGAAAAATGCAACTGGAGTGTGGATGGGTTCCAGTTCTTTCAAGTAGACAACACCATCTATCTCATTTGCTATGTAACGAGGAACAATTTCAGGTGGCCTGAGAGTGACTTTGATAATGGATACAAGAGCAGTGATCACAGCAGGGATACAGCCTGGTCCATTAGCAAGAATGGTGAGCTTGTGCGTTTGTAGAACGCCTCCCCCAATCTTACTAAAAAGCTTTATGACTCCAGTGGTTTCATCCAGGTGGAATAAATCCTTGGATGCTTGTGGAACTTTCTGGCTGTAAGAGTAGGTGATCTGGGCATTGGTCCCCAAGTCTCTGTCCACAGCCTGGACAGCTGCAATAGGGGTACCAACTGTAGCATTCCCATAGACCGTAACATTAATTTGTGAGTCCATGAAGAGAGGGCAATTATCGTTAATGTCACTGATGCCGATGGTGAGGGTGGCACTGCCCATCAGTGGTGGTGACCCACCGTCCTCTGCAATGATGATGCTCACATACTGATCTTGGGTTTCTCTGTCCAAAGAGCCCATGACAATTAAGTAGGGGGTGCGCTCCCCATTCTCATTCTCCTCAACATCCAGGGTGAACATGCCGTGGTAGTCCAGTAAGCGGTAGGTTTGTACCCCATTCATCCCTATGTCTGGGTCTACAGCTGGGTGCTCTATGGCCAACCGGGTGTTCACAGGTGCATTTTCAGGGACCCAGACAGATATTTGGGAGACAGGAAACTGAGGGGCATTGTCATTGATGTCCCTGATAGCAATTTTCACCTTCACAAACCTAAAGTATTCCTGAGGCAGGACCAGCACATCCAGAAGTAAAAGGCAAGAATCAGAGGAAGGAGAAGAAAAGATGGAAACGCTGCCACCCCAGGCAGCCTCTCCACCTCCTTCAAGACACAGGGCTTCCCTGTCGATCTCTTGGGCAGAAGTGTGCAGCTCCCCAGAGCGGTTGTCTAGAGTCACATACTGGCCGCTCAGTCCCCCGGAGGCCAGGCTGAAAGAGAGCGGCGGATTCCACTCAGCTCTGGTGCGATCAGACTGTTGGGAATGCTGATCCTGTCTGCCTGCGGCCCGGGGCACCAGCCGCAGGTCCTCAGCCAGGCTGCCGATGAGCACTCCGGCAGGCAGTCCCTCGTTCAGGCTGTACAGAAGCTCCGTGGCGCGACTGTAACTCGCAAGGCAATTGAAGGGTCCGACGAAGAGGAGAAACAGAAATAGATGCTAGATGGGGGGAGTAGGGAAGGCTTGTTACATGGGAGTTAAAAGAACGGGATTAGACAGCAGACACCCCCGGTCCTGCGGGCTCCCTTCTCCAATCCCACCAGTGAGATTCGGATTGGAAAGGAGGGAAGAGGAAGCTCCTTGTAAAAGAGAAGTGTAGGGCAACAGTGTCTTCCAAACTTAATTTTTCGGGTTCCTTTCCTTCTTCCCTCTCATGTCTGCCCCTGTTGTCCTCTGTCATCCCCTCATCTTCCCCTTCCCACTCCCCAGCAGGTGACATTCATATCACAAACTGGAACAACTCCCATCCCCGGGAACACGCACTGGAGTGGAGAGGACTCCAACTGGGACTGCGCAGCGCAACCCAGGAACCTCCGGTGCAAGTCTGGGGCGGAAGCGGGCTGGTATACAGCCCGGCCGTGCGGGCGATTATTTCTCCCTAGAATAATTCCGTCATTGGGATCCGGAAAAGTGACCCGAATCTAATGCCTTGCTAGGACACCAATAACCACCTTAACAATAGCGATCATCATAACACGAAAAACGTACCTCCCTTCCCATACCGCTCCTTACTTCAGGTGGTAAAAAGTAATTTTCATTTTAGCACACATCTAAAAAAAACAAACAACACTGTCTCCAACTTTTCCAAGACCCTACTATCGCCAAGAAGGGGAAGCAAAGTAAACGCGAAAAAATAATCACGGAAAAACAATTTGTTAGCTGCAGGAGGCAGTTCAAGCCAGACGCAGGCAGCAGGAAATCGTGTCTGAACCCCTGTGCCCATAGCGGATGGAGCGCGCCCACGGTCCCCTCCTCCCCATCTGACATTTCTGAATCCGAAACTTCCCCTCACCCCTCCTCCACCACCCAAGGACTTGCCTACCCCTACCAGCTAAAATTAAAATGTATTACTCCAAACTCCCTTTCCCTCCCTTGCACCTCGCGGCTCCTGTCCATAAGTTTGGATTCAGGCAAAAGATGGGAAAACCGTATAGGAGTGGGAATATCGCTCCCCAGTACCGCAACTTGCTGGGTCGCGCTGGGGCAGCTGCATCCCAGCCCTTACCGGCAAATTCCTGTGGTCGACGCTGCTTCTGGGACGGTGTAGACGCCCCATATCCAGGCGAAGGTGCCAGGTCGCCGGGGGCCAGCTCACTGCCAGGGTCCGCAGGCTGCGAGCATTCCCTCGGCCGCGCATTCCCAGGGAGGCTGCAGTCAGCGCGCTCCTGCAGGGAGGGCGGCAGAAGACACTCCCTCTCCGCTCATGCAAATCGCTGGGGAACTTCAGCCAATAGTCACCAGCTCCTCAATTAAGGCCGGGTACTAAAGGGGGGCAGAAAATCGAGGGGGCAGAAGGGCGCATTCTTGTTTTCTTGCCCCGACTTGGATGCGTGCAGACCCCGCCAGGCCAGCCGGAATGTGGGACTTGCCTGGAAGACTGCAGCGAGTCACCCCTAGTTGGACACCTGAGCTCGTGCCCGCCAGCCTTCCTCCGCGGTGCACCAGTCAGAGCTCAAGTCCACAGGTTGCTGGCAAGAGAGGGAGACTTAAATAAATGAACCGGCATCTGTGTCTCGCAAGAGCAAGACAAGTCGGCTCCACGGAGCAATCCCAGGTGCAGTCACAAGTGCTTGCTTTGCTATCGGTTCCTCAGAGATTTGGATCCAGCAGCTTTGCACGGAAATAGAAAAGACTCTTTTCTCAGCGGAGGGAAGAATCTCAACTTCTCCGTCAAGTGGTGTGTTCCAGAAAAACAACTGCGTGAGTCAGGTGAAGGTTTCCACATGCTTGGGCTTTGGAGCTTCACTGCTGGCGGTGAAAGAGCTTTTGCTAGTTTTTCTAGTTGCAGATGCAAGTGGCTGATGAGGGCCTTGTGCTCTCATTTCAGAGGCAGTGGCAGCTCCTAGCCTTGGGAAAGCGCCAGAGAGACAAGTGGACAGAAATGGGCAGAACACCAGTGATTGCTCCTGCAAGCAATTGTAACATCTTTTGTATAGGGTTGCATTTTAGGTGAGATTAGAGGACTTGGAAGAAGACTTGAGGGAAAAAAAAAGAAGAAAGAAAGAAAGAAAGACAGACTTGGAAAAATAAGAAATAAAACTTGACTGCTTTTAAAATGACTACTTTTCTCCCTCTTACCCCTCTACCCATCATCTATGGAAAAGGGGTTCTTTAGAGAAATAAAGGAAGAAGGATCAAAAGCAAACAATTCACATTCCACTTAGCATGTCACCGAAGAAAACATGCTAAGTGGTTTCTAAAGGAAAACACAGAGAAGTCTGTTATTTCTCTCACTACATAGAGAGATGGTTTCCTCATCTAGGCCCAAATCCTGCTCACTCAGTGGGAAGGTTGTATGTTCAGGACAGGGCGGGGCATATCAGGAAAAGCCAAATGATTAAACAAGCGCAGGACATTGATGACTGGTGGCTGCATTTTTTTTTCAGTGCCACAGCGGGGGGGGGGGGGGACACACAAGCATTGTGCACCAGGCTTCTTAGATTGCTTCCTTTAGAAACCACTTAGCATGTCTTCTTCTGTGGCATGCTAAGTGGAATGTAAATTGTTTGAGCTAATTGTTTGCTTTTGACCCTTCTTTCCTTCTCCCCATTTCCAACTATCCTAGAGTCAGAGTCCTAAATATTGACAAGACACTGCATCGAAACACCTGGTGCCTGACAGGTTGTTGGCGCACAGATTGCGCTGGATGTAGAGTTTGCAAGTGAAACTGTAATACAAATCTGGGTGATAGTTGTAAACCAGGCTTATGAAGCCAGCTCCTCTAAGCTCTTTGTCATGAAACTAGAATGATGCTGAAATGAGAAACCATACACAAACATAGACATGCGTGAGGACACCCACGCGAGTCAGCAAAACACAGTGACGAAAGTAGGCTTTGTTGACTTTCTTAAGTTGCCAGTTCTGACCTGCAGCTGAACGTTTACCATGGTTGGCAAATATTTACTTTGATATTTGTATTGTAGCTAAAATCTACTCCATGCCAAAAGTCAATACTATGCTTCTTCTGAAACGTACTTAATTTATGTCTTCAGGCATCGTCCATAGCTTCCAGGATTTGGAGACCTGTGGCCAGAAGAAGGGAGTCCATTGATGGTCAGAAGACATGAAAAAGGAATTCCACATCAATACAAGTAGAGTTATCAACCGCGGTGAGCTGTTCTTGTGTCTCACATGTCATGCCCTGTCCAGTAGGTTAAGGTTGTCTGCCCTTCCCCCAACCCCACGCTTTGTGAAACTACAGAAAGTTCTTTTCTTGTCTTTTATTTAGAAGGACTTTGCAAGGGAACTATTACATGAACAGATAATCCAGCTGAAGTTACATCTTCTCTTGGCATTTATATTTCCAATTGCTGCTAATTTTCCCTCTATTCTAGGACTCTTTTCCCACTGTAGAGTGAATAATTTTAGTACAGATGCATTTTAACTCTCCTAATCATGACTTTTAGCCCTTACTTATCGAACTTATTTTTGCTCCTCTCCTTTGTTATGTTGAAAAAAAATTATCTTCACTTATCCAGTTATTGTTCCCTAGAGTGTTTCTAAGAGTATTCTTTCTTAGAAAAAAAAAGGGGGTATTTATTTTTTATTGCAAAGTCAAGATATCAGAGAGGAGGAGAGACAGAAAGTAAGATCTTCCATCTGATAATTTACTCCCCAAGTGATGCAAAGGCTGGAGCTATGCCGATCTGAAGCCAGGAACCAGGAGCTTCCTCTGAGTCTCCCACACGGGTTCAGGGTCCCAAGGCCTTGGGCTGTTGCCAACTGCCTTCCCAGGCCACAAGCATGGAGATGGGGAGTGGAGCTGTCGGGATTAGAACTGACACCATATGGGATACGGCGCATTCATGGCGAGAACTTTAGTCATTATGCCACTGTGCTGGGCCCTCTAAGAGTATTTGTAAGAGGCAAGTTGAAGCACAGTAGTTGAGCACTCATGTCAATAATGTGGGGAATGAAATTACGTTCACGTTGGCCTTAAATTATTATGCTGCTGCAAGTTTTTCACGTGCAGGTTTCTCATCAAGATTGTGAGACCTTTGCACAAGGCCGGGTAATACCTTTATATGTCACCTGCTGAACTGTTATTAAACTACGTATTATTCTATTTTCTTTGAAATGATATGCCGAGATTTCATGGAGGTTAATACTATATTGGGGCTTAAAATAATTTTTAAAAATCAAATGCCATTCTTTACTTTCCATCCATCCTTTTCTAAACCTAATGAAAGGATTCCTAAATTCCTGTTTCTCATGACACCAACCCTATGACTTACCATCAGACACCACGTATTTCTTTCTAAAGATGACTTAGAGAGTGGCCATGCTATTTATCTCTTGAAAGTAACACGTATGGACTTCTCACAGATCTTAGTTGTTCTCGGCCTGCTTTCCAGGTGTTTTTAAAAATTGATATTGAAGAATAGTTATATTGCATACCTCCTAAATGGTTTTTGTTTTGTTTGTTTGTTTAGAAGAGGAAAGCAACATTATGCAATAAGTGAGCTCAGACCATTCCTTGGGTTGTTGCTAAATCCTTGTGTGATTGTAAACAATTCATCCCCCATAGGGTTCTTTTTCAATTCCCTGAGAAAACACTTTCTCAAACTACATGCATATGTACATCCCAAATGGCTTAGCTAATATTAATTATTAACAAAGAGTGCATGCCAATACACTGATTAATTTCATCACTATCTTATGACCACTAAAATTTAATAATATTATTATTTAGTGTAAATCTTCTTAAGCTTATAACTTGTCAAAAACATGTACATGCTTATATGTATACATTAAGTACCATCTTCAAACTCTATACATTTAGTAAGCATATTCTCCAACATTTTAGTGTTTTAAAGTACTATTCACGTTTTGTTTGTCCTTAACAAGTAGTTATAAGCATACCATTTCAAGTATTTTAATATTAGTATAGTTGCCAGGAACTTTTATGTTTTATGTTTTATATATATATGTATATATATGTATATATATGTTATATGTATGTATATATAAATTATATATTTACATATAAATATATGCATTTATATATGTCATTTATGTATATATGTTTATATATAATTATATATGTAATATATATTTATATATAAACATAAATATTTTATATATATATAAAATCTTGTTCTATAATTCTTCTAGAAATGATTTATTTAGCTTTCACTTTATTTGCAAAGCAGAGAGAGAGAGAGAAGGAATTTTAGCCTCTTTTTCACTCTATAAGTGCCCAGTACAACAAGGGGTAGTCCAGGCCAAAGCTAGGAGCCTAGAACTCAATTTAGTTCTCCCAAATGGGTAGCAGGGACTCAAGTTGTTGAGCTTTCATCTGCCTCACAGCATAGATATTAGTAGGAAGTTGTATTAAAAATTGGGAAACAAGGATTTGAACTAGGTTCTCCAATAGGGGACTCAGATATCCCAGATCGTTTTAAACACTGTACCAAATGTCCACCCTTGGACCAAGCAACCAGACACAACCAGTGCCTCCATGGGATGTTGAAAATGCAGGTGGACTCTTCATCTACCATGTCATGGCATAGTCACCAAGAGAGAGATCTACAATCATGGGTTTACTTCCCAAATGTTCACAATGGCTGAGTTTAAGCCAGACTATACCCAGGAGCCAGGAATTTCATCCAGGTCTCTCACGTGTGTGGCAAGGATGAAACTCCTTGGGTCATCTGCTGCTGTCTCTGTTAATTTAGCAAGGGCCTGCATCTGAAGTGGAGCAGCTGGAAAGCAAGGTGGCATTCATGAGCTAATGGAATCACAGGTATCATTTGGATGCTGATAAATGTTCTTTTATTGAGGGCTAATTATGTTTTGAACATGCTATTAGGTATTTCACATGTGTCATTTGCTTAATTCACATAGCTAACTTATTTTATTTTCACTCATGTATTTTTTAATGCTGGAGATATATTCTGAGAAATGTGTGGCTTAGGCAGTCTTATTACTATGAAATCATCATGGAGTATACTTGCACAAACTTCTATGTACATGAGTGGTGTTATAGAGCCTACTCTTCCCTGATCTGATTTTCTGTTCCACACTCACAGCAGTTTTATAATAGTTTTATTACAACAATTTCACTGACATATATTATGTGATTTCTGATGTCCATGGTGAATGGGTCCTAATCTGTTGACTCTAAACTGTGAGAAATCAGTATATTGAGTCTTTTACTAAAGAATTTGAGCAGCTAACTTAGTGAATAAGTATACATTTACACTACTTTGTTAAAAAGGTGTATATAAGCCAATTTATTATAGCACATGTGCAGAAAACACAAAAAATATAGTAAATACACATTTGCTATTCTGTGCAATTCATAATTGGGGCTTTTATGATTAACAATATGATCTAGTTAGTATTTTTTATGTTTTGGAAAGATGGGTAAATAGATTTCCCATTTCTCCTATTTCCTTGCATAGTCTGTCAGGAAGGGATATGAGAGAGTGTAATGGTGCTTTTATTTCAGAACTCAATTAGCATCCCTTTATAGGGATAAATATAACTGGAT